CCTGGACGAGCGCGTCCGCTCTGACTGCGCCCGCGGCGTCCCTGGGAGCGGTCGCCGCTCGCCGTCGCCCGCCCGCCGCCTCACGCGCGTCGCACACAAGCCTGAGGACACTTCTTAAAAGCGGACGCTGTCACTCCCGATTCCAGGGCCCGCGTCCCATCAGCGTCGAGCCAGGATTGGAGCCCTGGCCTCCTGCCTCCTACCTGCCTGCAAATCCCATGTTCGGGATTAGTGAACTGTGCTGCCTCCCCTCCCCGGGGCTGCCCCCCGCTGCCCACCTGCGCCTTGGGTTTGCGTTGTACCTGGTATCGTAGCTCTTTCTGCTCTCACCCAGGAGGCGCCGGCCGTCAGCATCCCGAGGACCCGCCCGCCCGGGCAGCTGTGTGGCCTCCCCTCTGTAGCTCAGTGATCTGTGCCCAAAGCGCGTTTACGGGTTAAACTGGATGAAATTGAAAGCGCCTTAGAAACGGGCAAGGGAGTTGGGGTATGGAGAATGCCGCTGACATGCCGCCGAGGTCAGAGACAAGGTACAGGAGCCTGTGGCCTGGCCATGGGCGCCTCGTCCTGACAATCCAGGCGACAAGCAACAAGGGCAAGGGCGCGGCCAGGGCCCGCGAGAGGGGCATTGCCCGGCGAGGGGACAACCCTCACGCTGAAACTCACCCCCTTTCTCATGACGAAGTATCCTCAGGGCTCTAGCCGGGTATAAATACAGGGACCTAGCAGGGCAGGCTGGATGGAGGGAATCCACACAAATCACTGACAGGGAAATTCTCTCGTGAATTTCTCGGGGTCGTCAGGAAACTGCACCTAAAGGAAAAGTCAGAAGTCTCTAGTCCTAACGGTCCTAGAAGAAAAGAAGGGAATGGAAGAAGGAATGGGGGTTGCCTGGTAAGGAGAAAAAAACCAAGACGGCTTAGGCTCGCCTGTGTATTACAGGCTGCCTGGAACATGGGAATAACAGTTGCGAAGATACAGATCCGTGTTGTGGACAATAGGGGGACGGTGGGTGCAAGGACAGTTTTTCTGCTACAAGACACCTTTATGACTTGAAAGTTCCTTTACAGATCAGAATGTAGCCATATAACTTGAAATGGTAATCTCTCTGGTTCCCTTTTCTCCACTGCCCTGTAGGTGATTTGTCCCCTGGTGACTCAGAGGGCATCCACGTTACCTGGAGATGAGGTGGAATTGTTATGGCAGTAATGCAAATAGCAAGAAGAAACGTTTTAGACTTTCAGGCCCATTTCTGAGAACCAAGTGGAAATTCTGAAGAAAGCAGAACATTGAATCTGTGTCATCAGAATAGAATTAAGGGTACAAGGGAGGAAATAACTTCATCCTTTATAGTTGTCAAGAGGAGGAGCCAGAATGGGGTGTGACCCTTCTGAGGAGACAGTTTTTCCATGGCTCTTTCACTTTTTGTAAAAGCTTGTGACAGCTTTCATTCTGGGCTGTCTTTTCGAGGAAAACAGATACTGACTCCCTCTGGGGCAGGGGGGAAATTTGTTTTCCGATCAGTATAATAAAGATAATGTTTCTCTCTGGGGCAAAGGTTGAGCATGTTTGCTAGTAGCCCCTTATAAGAGTGGGGGTTTCCTGAGTTTGGGGATCCTCAGCTGTGGCATAAACCCACTGGTGCACGGCGTACACCTGGACCCAGCTCCATGGCCCCATGATGCTCGAGAGACAAGGAGAACCAAGGTGAATGTGAAACTCATGCTGCATGCTGCACCGTAAGTAATCAAATCCATTGCTTCAGACCCAGGAGTCTCATGTCTCTGCCAAGATCTGTGAAACTGTAGCAGGAGAGCATGTAGCTTGCAGGCAAGGTAAAACCTCACACCCTTAACCGTTTTTACCTCCCTAGATCTGGGATAGGGGACAACAGGGGTGCTTATCAAAGAGGAACAGAGTCAGTGTTCAGAGACTGTAAGGACCTATGTAGAGAAGTACCCATCAACCCCTGAGAGCCCGGATCACATGCAGAACATTTATTGCCACTGAAGGAAACACTACACTTCTGCTGTTTTCCTAGCAGTGGTTCTCAGCCAAGAGCAAAATCACTTCCCCCGTGGGCTTATAGAAATATGTGTAGGGAGGTTCTGGTTGTCAACATAATAGGGCAGTGGTGGGGAAACTACTAATATATAGTGTCTGGGGACAAGGTGTGATAAATCATGACACACAGTGATGACTTGACCTTCCCCAACTGCTAATAGCATCATCATTAAGAATCTCTAGTCAGTGTGGACAGTACGCCTTTCATCAACAGCTACCTGCCAATTGTGAGGAATCTTCCAGAAGGGTACATGGCCTTCCCCGAGACTTTGCAAGCTCATAACAAAAAGTCCCCATGTGGATGCTCTTCCTTTTCAAAGGCCCTGACCTAGTAAGCATTTCCTTGTGGAGGTCTTGACACCCAGAAGCAGGGGTGGCGAGAGGAAAGGGAAAACCAGTCACTGGTACTTGGGTGGAACAGGACAGTGTGAGACACTCCCTTCAATTCCACCATTTATCTGAATAGGCTACATTTTTATGAGGAATAGCTCATCAATAATTACTTGTATATTTTAAGTGGTGAAAAATATTCTTGACATTAACTAGAATCAGCTTCCATTACTGTGTGAACAGTAGCAGAATAGCACACATTTAATTCAATTCAACAAGTATTTATTGAACACTTGCTACATGCTAGGCATTGTGCTAGGTGCTGGAGAAATGGAAATGGCTAACAAAGACCTCACAACCTTCCAGGAAAACAGACACATACATAACTAGTTACAAGAGAACATATTAAATCAGACACAGACTCTGTTGTTGCCTAAATGCTACTCATGATATTCAATATCAATCCACAAAAAAAGCCACAGAAAACTAACTTGGAATGTACAGACTAGTGTTATTAGGCCACCAGCGTTTGCATCTAGTACCATGTTCCTTTTGCGGCAATCTCAGAGAAGATGGTGCAGCTCTCCATAAACATACAGGAGTAGTTATTCCAAACGAGGATATGAGAATCAGAATAATTCAGCCAAAGCAGGAGGGAGGGGAGAGGGTTGGTTGTCACCCACACTGGTTTCTACCCTCCCTTTTTAAAAATTGAGTTTATTGGGGTAACACTGATTCGCAAAACAATACAGGTTTCAAGTGTACAACTCAATGAAACATCATCTGCACACTGCCTCATGCGCCCATTGCCCCAAGCAAAGTTTCTTTCTGTCCCCCTTTCCCCACCTCCACCTACCCCCATCCCCTTTCCCTCTGGCTATCTACCCTCCCTTCTTGAGGAGTTGTGTGTGGGAGAGCCAGAGCTGAGGCAGGCTAGGATATTTGATGTAGCAGGGTGTCCACCTCTGAACATAGTGGCAGAGGACATCTCCCAGGGACCTCAGCAACTTCTAGAATCCCATGTTGCTTTGCTTTCTGTTTCAACCTAATTGTGGATATTTATCACTTATCTTTGGTATGGAACTAAGACTGGGAGGTCTTTCAACAGCATGTACTAAAAGTGCGAATGTTCTTTCCAGGAAAAGACAAATTTTAAACCCAAATCCCTAGTACATATAGTGAACTAAAGTATAAACGAGCAATATCCCTTTCAAATGAAAATATTGATTGTTAAAATGTAATATATACATATAAGACAAGCTTAAAGGAAACATAATTTAGGAGGTCATTTCTATTGACTTTATAGTGTTTTGTAATTTTTACAAATATATGTAGTGCTCTACATTGATATTTACAGTTATAGAGTGGGGGGAAAAAACCAAATTTTGTTACTTATATGCATAAAATCATTATAAATTGACAAAAGCAGAGGGGGGGTAGTTTAGCGATGATCACGATAGAATTTTTCTAACGAGAGGTTTCCTCTGTGGTTTATGATAGCCAGATACCTGAAAGAACAAGAAGCTGTTCTAATGAGACAGAAAATGAAGACTATACAAGTAACACAAAGACTCAAAGTTCAATGTATTTCAACAAAAACTCTTTTTGTCTTTATTTTCTAATCAGAGATGTAAGGAAAGGAGCGCTTATAATTATAAAATATTCTCCAAGTCAGAAGCTTTGCTTCTTTCACCGTGTTGAAGGAGTCCCATTATATTATGATAGCGCCCACTCGTGTTTTCTCTGTGTCCTGCCCTCAAACATGACCTCATTCCACACTCACAGGAAAGAATGCATTTGATAGTTTCTCTGATACTTTCTGTGAGTTAGAGATTAATATCTGCAATTTATAGCTGAAGGAACCAAGGCTTGCAAGCAAATTGCATGCAGTAGTGTCTCATGCTAAAGTAGGTACTGTGGTATAAATAACCATTCTGTGTTAGTTGCTGATAGCCTAGGGCCTAAGTGTGAAAAATAGTTCAGGGAATGCTTCATTAACATCTTTCTGTTTGTTCCATTTTATTTTCTCAAGTAGGGGAGTTATCAAGTGCATTTACCACATGGTAAGTTGCATCTTCTTTTTAGAACATCTTTTTTTTTTTTTTTTAAAGTCATCACATTTAAAAGGACTGATAGTCAACATCCTTTCACACGCACAGTAAAGTGCAATAGCAGAATATTTTCTCGCAGTTTCATTCTCACCTTGCATAGGAGTAGATTTTAATTATGGTTCAGTTCCCTTTATTATTCAGCTGAACAAAAAGCTAATAGATTAGAATCATAATGTATTTTCTTGGAATGCACCATTCCTATTTTTTTAAATGTCAGGTACTCATTTGGTATGATTGCTAAAGTAATAAGAATAATAAAATTCAAATATTAAACACAAATACATTTCTAACTTTTCCTATGAGAAAAATTCAGCTTAGCTATATGACCTGGTCTGAAAAAAAAGGGTATAGGTAAAAGTGTGTGGTATTCTATTAAATGTGATAATCCTATTAAGAGTGATAATTCTATTATTTTACTATATCTCTTCCCAGAAAACTGCTTAAAAAAAATCACAACTGTCATTGCTTTTTAAAACCAGACATGAAATACCTGAACCAAATCTACATGTTACCAGTGATGAGTATCTTCTAAACTAAGCATTTATTTCTATGAGGAAATAAAATCATTTTTCAGATAAATACTTTCGAAATCTCTTTGACTGAGTTGTGTGTTTGGGAGTAAAGGGATACCTTCTACCTGCTCTCAGAAGAAACATTCAGCCTTTGAGGTCGTTGGGAAAGGAGTTTTTCTGCGCTTCATAATCAGCAAACGCAGAGGCAAGAAGTTCAGGCTGCAAAGAGAGAGGGCTGGGGTTCCCATTCGCGGAGAAAGTATCTTCAAACCTTTCAAGGTCAAGACCTCTTCCCCTAAAATATGCCTGAAGAGTTCTGAAAAACTGAAGAAAATGTTCAGTTGCCATATATATATAAATTAAACATTCAAAATACTCAAAGATTAATATTCCCCCTACTCCCTCCCAATTGACTTTAGGGCTTATTTAAGAGGCAGGAGGTGGAAAACTCAGACATAGAAGTACAGGCTTTGGCTACTTCTCCCCCTCCCCCTCCACTGTTCTCCACCCTGCCTTCTTTCTGACATTTCAACCCCAAACAAGATCATTCACCATTCTTGGTGGAAATCAAGCGAGGAATATCGATTACTTAACAGCACCAGTCAGAGGGGCGTTGTAAACCATCTTTGAACCAACATCAGAGATTAAACTGAACTCCACAGTGATCAGAGCTTGGCGCCTCCTCTCCAATTGAAAATAAAAAGGCCCCAATCATCATCTTCTGAAATAGTTTTTGTTCAGACATGAACTTTTCAGCTTCCCTTGAGGAAGTGAATGTATACATAGAAGCTGTGCAAAGGGCTATTTGATTGTTTTAATCCTATATTGTTATATTTCTCATCAATGTGCATAAAAGATCACTTACAAATGCAATGTGCCCTGTGTGTATTAGATCATTTCTAAATATAAATGTTTCTCCTTACAGAAAGGAATGTATCTTGGCTAGAGGAACAATAGGATGGCAGCTACGAGGCTGGCAAAACTCTGGTCTGGTCCTGTTGGGGCATCTTCTCAGCCCTTGGCAGCCTCCTCTGCACTGTGCTCTGGCAGAGTGCAGTGCACACAGATCCAGAGAGGCACCGATCCCCCTGCAGCCCAGCACGTCCCAGTGTGTGTTCTTACCAGGTCTCGATTTCTGGGGTTGCTGAGCGGCTTCCATTTCTCCCTGTTTCTCAGTGTGGCTCCATGGATAGGCCCGAGTAGCACCAGGGCAACACACAGCAGCAGTGCTTTGGGCATGGTGGAACGCAGCTGAGGGAAGGGTAGGGTGAGGGAAAGAGCCACGGTCTCAGCTGAGACAGAGACAGAGACAGAGACAGAGAAAGAGAGAGGGAGAGAGGGAGGGAAAGAGAGGGAAAGGAGACTAAAGAAAGAAACATTTTTAAAGGGCGATAAAAAAGAAACAGTATCTTGGTTCACCACAATTTGGTTCCCCTCTTTTTCCCCACATTCATTTGCAAATACGACCTCCAAAACCCAGGTGATTAGCTTAAAGGAGTCCACGACAATGGAACATTATATGGTAATAAGCAAAGTGATCATGAATACAACTGACCAAGTCTGAGTATATCGTTTTATCTTTGAAAAAAGTGCACTTTGTTATCTCCAAAAAAGTGAAATTCTTAAGCAATCAAACAAAAGAGCACCCCAAACCAATCTTAAAAAAACCCGAAACTGAGAAATGCACTTTACACAGGCATCGGATACAGACTCACACCACCCCAAGATTGTCGCTCACCACTAGGTGTGAAATGGAACGAGACACACAGCAAGGGCTAATAAATCTTACCCGCAGTTTGACTCAGGCTGGCCCCGGCTGGTTACCCTGCCTGCGGTCCACAAGGGGACGCATGGCTACTTATAACCAGTGAATTGGCTGCAGGTGGGAGTCATTGACGTGAGCAAGGGGAGTTCAAACATAATGATTCCATTTTCATCCACAGCACAAATACCCCTGAGAATCACATCTTCAAACTTCTTCAGGGACAATTTGTCTTATAAATATAGCAACCGTGGCCATTTTATGTGGATTTTATGAAACACACAAGGCACTTCCAAATAGCAAAATGGCTTTCTCCTGTTTTACTTTAAGAGAGGGTGTATTTAGACAGAGCAGCTGGGAATACGATGATGATTATCCCACCTAATGGCATGCTCTTTTGGAGATACCAGCTTTTGAAATTAACAGCATTTTTTGGAACAGAAAATTCTATTGCAAGGGACAAAATTGCTCTTTATGACCTACACCTTATATTTCTTCTGAGAATCTCAAGAATCTTTATGAGTTTTAAATAATGGCATGGTTTTTCATAATACCACCTCAAAATAGGGCTACAAAATGCCACGTGTTTTGTGAGAAAAAAGAAAAATTACTATATCTCTTGCTGAATAAATATAATCATTGAAAATGATAGGGTTGAGAAACTGGACTTGCTGAATTGTGAAGTTGCTTTGGTTCCCATACTTCAGAACAATCCTGGACAAGCTCTTTGCTGAGAGGGCTAGTAATCTGAATTCCTGGCTGCGGTTTCAGCCTTCTCATATTGACCTTGGGCAAGTCACTATGACCTTCATTTGTTCATTTCTTTGTTCATTCCTTCCATAAATTTTCATTGAGCACTGACCATGTGCCAGGCACTGCACAAACCTTTGAGGATAAAATGATAAGAATATAAACATAGGTACCACCCTCATTGAACTAGCATGTTAATGGGCAGGACAAACAATGAGATCATTACGTAACAAATGTACAAATACAAATGATGATAATTTCTCCGAAGAGAAACTGGGTGCTATGAGAATGTGGAATGCAGGGATTTCGTTCAGTCTCAAGGGTCAGGAACGGCACTGCGAAGTGACCTTCCATCTGGTCGTAGGAGTTACCTAGGCAACCTAGAGTGGGCAGAGGGAGAGCGTCAAACAAGGTGACCAGCTGTGCTAGACCCTGTGGCCGAAAGGAGCATGGCACATTAAAGCAATTGAAAGTAAGTGGCTCTGTTGGTTGGAGGGCCCTCCTGTACACCAAAAGGTGGCGGTTCTATTCCCGGAAAGTAAGTTAGTACGTGAGGAGCAGAGGGCGCGAGGTGAGGCCTGGTTCAAGACGGGGCAGGAGAGGTGGTCAGAGTATGATCTTGTTGCTGCAGGCAGTGGTGAGTCACTGAAAGGTTTTCAGCACCCCAGCAGCTTGAGCAGACTTGCATTTTAAAAAGGTTATTCTGGTTGCAGTGGGGAAGACAGATTGAGGTAGAGAAGAGGGGTGAGGGAGGCCAGTAGGTGGCTACAAGGCAGAACGAGGTAAGTTGGATTAATACGGTGGCACAGATGCAGAGATGTGGGTGCGTGTGAGAGATAAACAGAAGGTATTGGTAAGGTGCTGGATACTGTAAGAGGCAGAGCTGAGAGGAAGAGAGTTTCAAATACAATCCCTAAGTCTCAGGATTACGCAGCTGAGTGAACTAGAACACCACTCACTGAGGTATCAAATGCTGGCACGGACAGATGAAGGTCATGAGTTGCTGGGGACATGTTGCATTTGAGGAGCCAAGTGGGGACTGAGATACACAATTGGATACACAGGTCTGGAGCTCAGAGGGGAGGTCTGGGAAGGAAATGTAAATGGGGGGGAGGGGTTGCTGGCATATACAGGGGTACAATTATTTCAGTAAAGATTAGAAAATGAGAAAAAAATGTGGCCTAGGGCTTGAGCTTTGAGAAGTTTTAACATGTAACAGTCATATACAGGAATCTATACAAAAGAGACCCTGGAGGCAGGGGCCAAAGCAGGAGAGTATGAAAGCAAGAGAAGAAAGTGTTTCAAGAAGGGACAGACTGAGTAAAATGAGGACTGAAGAGGACCCATGGAGCATTAGACTGTTGCGGTAGATGGAAACGAAGGTCGGGTTAGAAGTGAGTGGATGGACAAGAGAGAGAGACAGCAAGTATATCAAGCTCCTGAGACGTTCCGCCACGGAGAGACGGACGGGAGAGAGAGAAGGCAGTAACGGGGGGAAATGAAGCCAAGGGAGGGTGCTGTCTTCATTGTTTTTAATGTGAGAGACTTGAGTTGGTTTCATGTCAGTGATTGAGTAAATGAATATCCTGACATTTCATTACAGCAACTCTCCCTAAAACTCCAGGACTTTGAAGTTAAAACACCTAATAATATTGAAATATTAAGTTATTAATGAGCTTATAGCAAAGTCACACCCAGTGCCGAGTTGAGCCCAACATATAGCCTTTTTGAACGGGAAAGATGGAATAAATTAGAAGAGAGTTTCATGGGCATTTTTCTATGAATAACTCCTAACTTTAATTCCATTTGTATAAAAATGCAGCTCATTTGTTCTTTTAAGAGTTACCCATTTAAGAAATATTTAATTTCTCAAAGAAGCAATGGACTAAAGGTAACATAGACATATTATCACCTTGTTCACTAAGACTGGAGTTTCCCCAATCGTTAAAATAAATTACATAATTAAATGAAACAATTGCTTTTAATTCATTTAATTGTTTCTGAGACATAAGTCTCTGTTTTAAAGAGCAGAATGTATTGATAAAGCTGATGATATTTCTTCAGAATGTATCAACACAGCATTAAGCAGATATTTTTGCAATTATTTGGTTAAGTACAATCAAAAAGAGAGGGGAAAAATGCCCAGGATAGTTCAGGTCCCCAAACCATTAATTTGGTCTAAATTATCCCCTTTGGCCTCTTCATTAAATAGACCATTAGCAAAAGTAGCAGTTGGGGTATTTTGGGCCAAAAGACTCTTCCAAACTCAGAGGCATCTGAATGAAGGTCTTTGCTGGCATTTCTCAATTAGAAATTGAAAAGAGAGTACCCAGCACAGGCTACAACATAAAAGAAATCCAATAATGTGTTGATTGAATTACAAATTAATTAGGTTATAAATCCAAACATAATGGTAAAGGTGAGGAAAGGATGCTACAAGAAAAGGATACTGTGAGAGGCAGAGAGAAAAGTTTAAAATTTTCGCTGTTGGACTATATAACCTTTTCAAAGCTTTCTCTAGTAGGGGGAAAAAAAAGAGTTAATAAAGCCATTTAGTTATATAATAAACAGGGACAGAAATTTAATCTCCTTTTTCTTCCCTCGGATCTGAGTAAGGGAAAGGGAATGTTGTGTAGAAACTGCTCCTCAGTAATGATGGGAACTTCCGAGACAATGGAAGGCCACACATCTAGATGGTTAATGGAGTAAAAGCCAGACAGCTTTCTGCTCGTAGCAATCCTAACTGCTTTTTGTGGCAGTGGCATATTTCAGGTTGAAAGCAGACTAAAGAGAAGAGGGGAGAAGATAAGCCTTTTGCCATGCACAGAACAAGAAGCAAAGAGCTGTAGGTCAGGGGACCACAGTGACTACAATAAAGAGGAAACTGTCACCTCATATCATGGGGCCACCTAAAGCTTCCAGATTCTACGAGACCCAAGGACATGAGAAGAGGCCCAGAAGCCACTGAAGTTAGATCTCTCCTCCTGTCCCAATTCAGATAGGGGCTCAGAGTCAGGCAAAGTTGGTTTAAAAAAACAACATGACAACAATAGTTGATGAAGGCCTGGGGAGGGGGTGGGAGCAGGGTAGAGGGGTCAATGTGGATAAAAAGGAGACATCTCTAATACTTTCAGCAATAAAGATAAATATATATATAAGACATGACATACTCAAACACCTCCACATTATGGTCGAACCTTGGTCCCTGCAGGCAGTGTCAATACAGTGTTAGTAATCTGGTTGTATAGAGTTGACCCTTAGAATTCTCTAGTCATTTTACTATGGAGAAATCTGTATTATTCTTTGCTATCCTCTGTTTTGTTTTAACTATGTTAAAGGGGTATATTAAAGAGGAAAAGAGATCTGTTTAAAACATGTTACAGCTGTTTTACCTTGTAGGACCAGAGTGTGAGCCAATTCTAGAAGCCTGGGCCTGTTAAGGAAGGACGAGGGCTGGGTGGGGCGGGCATCCTTCAGGGAGAGCCTTTGCTCTCAAGCCCAGCCTGGCCTCTGCTTTTATCAGGTCTTCCTTATCATTGGCTGGGATCTGGGCAACAGCTACCCGGTCTCCCATGGCCCCTCCTCTGGTCCATCTTCCTCCCTGCTACCAGCCTTCCCCAAAGCCAAATGCCATGATTTGGGCTAGTCAGAGAGGGGCAGCCAGCATATATCTTTCAATCCTGCCCTAAGTTCAAGCTATTTCTCCTGCAACTAAGATGGAGTAGAGGCAACAACCGGTAAAAATTATGCTAATCATACTTGATCTGAAGCCAGCTCTGAGAAACAGAGCAAGAAAATGGACATCCAGACTCACACAGTGACAGATATAAACCAAACTCTTTGAACCTGGATCCAAGGACCAGGTTCCTAACCCAGTGTCATCTCAGGCCATGTTGGTATCTCCAAAGTCATAGTAAAGGAGTAAAGTGTTATTCCTAAAATGTAACAGGCTAAATTATTTCTTAGGGCTTTGCAAACAGCTTTTCAGCAGGCACCCTGCTTTTACTGTAGCAGAGAGCCCGAGGTGGTCCGCAATACCTTTCGCTTTGCAACTGACCCTGGAGCAGAGACAGGAGAAAAACAAGGCCATGCTGGTGAGGAAAAGCTTACTGGCAACATCATCTCCGCTTCTAGTGACTTCTTGATGTCCACAAGGTAATGTCTAAACTCTTGAACACAGTGTGAAGGAAGGTCCCCAATGTAACTCATAGGACCCAATCCTACCATGGCAGCCATCTGACCTCGTCCGGGAACACCACTCACCCTCAGACCGCGGTGCCTCTGAGCTGGCTTCTACCTGGGATGCCTTCTCTAACCCTGTGTGCCCCCAGAACTACTTCTCCCTGTTCTTCCAGACTCACCTCAAATGTCACTTCTGAGAAAAAGAAACTACTTAGTCACTGCAACAGCTCCTACCTTGTTGAATTAGGATGGCTACGTTTGCTTCCACATGTCCCACTGTCACAAGATGAACTCCTTGAAGTAGGCAAGGAGCAGACTTTTTATCATTGATTCTTCCAAGTTGGCATCCTGCCTGGTGTAGAGTAAGCAAGCACAGCACACACGTTTATGGAATTAATCGTTCTTTAGGTGAAATTTTAGCTTAGGTTCTTACCCTGTTCTTTTGAAATGTGAGCCTTGTTGCATTTCTATTTGGCACACAAACCAACGGAGATTGGGGGGAGGGAGAGTTTGGCCCTTTTATGATCACATACACTGCTCTATTCAAGGCCACAAGCCAAGGAAAGTGGGCAGCCATCAGGAGCCGGAAGAGAAAAGGAACGGACTCTTTCCTAGAGTCTCCAGAGGGCGTGCAGCCCTGTCCATATCTTGATTTTGGCTCCGTGATACTGATTTCAGACTTCTGACCTCCAGAACTGTGAGATAATAAGTTCCTGTTGTTTTAAGGCACTAATTTGGTGGTAATTTGTTACCTTAGCCACAGGAATGTCAAGGTGTCAGGCCAGTCGTGAAGGAAGAAGACCCCTAACTCACCACAGTGGCTTTAGCTTCTACCGAATACGCTGCACTGCGGACAGATCCAGAAGCTGGCTCTACATTCCTTGTTCCCTTTTGAGAAAGATGAAGCTTCCTCTGTCATTCAGTTCACAATACCAAATGGATTTGGGTTGAAAGTCTATTATA